AGAGTGAAGTTCAGAGACACTCACTGAGCTCCTGAAGCCTAATGAGGGGACAGCACTTGTAAGAACACTCAGAACTAGGTTTAGAAGCGTCTGGAAGAAGTTTGAGAGACAAGATCCCAAGCATGCTGTCGTTTCTCACATTGCTGGGGCTTAGGTGAAAAGCAGACACACTGAGGAAGACGTGGCACTCACTGCTGCTCTTTGGGAGAGTTGGATAAATGCCTACTTCTCTGTGCTGGGAGTGACTGCTATAAATTCTGTGCAAAGTTCCCCCCAACATTCATTTTCCCATCTTGAAAACATTTAACCATGTAGTAAAATTTTGATTAAAAGACATCAAAGAAGCCTTCACAGCATTGTAAATGCTTCCAAATCCCTGCCCAGAACAATTCTTTGCTCTGAACAGCTTCTAAGGATCTAAATCTTGTCATGTAAGGTTTAGTCTCACAAACTACCCAGTCTTAAATCTTATCTGGGCTAGTAGTATATGTAATACTTCTTAAAAAGAGGTGCTAAAAACTTGGTGAAAGAAGTGCCCTTGGGGAAGCTTCTGACCTACTCCTGTCAGCGAATGCTTAGTTATCCCATCAGTTACCTTAAATCCTAAAAACATAAGGATTTCTCTTATACATTCTGATTTTCTATAATAAACCTTGGTCTTCTCATTATCCACATGGATATCATATAATTTTTTTTTTTTTATCCTTCTAAGCTCTTGGTCCTAAAGTTATCTGGTGATAAAAAGCTCCAAAGGTTAATTGCAAATTGTGCAAAGTAACCATTTCAGTTTACTAATTCCAAGTGAGTTATCTTTGCATTAAGCTACCTGTTTCCATCTGAAAGCGTTAAGTATGAGCATCTGATAAACCTTCCTCACACTATTGGGTATTTCCTAGGATTCTGCCACTCCTCAGTTTTGTTGTTATCCAAAACATCTTCTTCTCCCTCTTTCTTCCTGGAAAGTAAAGAAAGTAAAATCAAACTTATTTAACACCATATCTATAAAGAATACTATGTACATTATTGCATGTTATAGCTCCCACAACCTATCTAAAAGTCAGCATATTTTGGAAGGCAGTCACAAGTAACATAAGCCTTTCAATAGGAAGCAATCTTTCTCCTTACTAACAAGGAAGTCACTCATTAAATCTGGGAAGCAGCTAAAGTGGCTCTGGTGTTTCAGCAGATGCACATGCTGCACTTTTTGGGCTCTGGACAATCCAGGGCAGCATTGCTGCTGATGGAGCACACCCAGGAGGCTGCTGTCAGGGGCGGAAAGTGATCCTACACTGCTTGGAAGTTACATTGGTTGAGGGCCATGGAAAAGGAGAGGGGGGAAGTGATTCATACCTTTGTATTTGAGGTATTTGAGGCTGTCAAGGGTTGCAAACAAACCAAAAAAGTGTCCCCGGACACTTGAAAAACCTGTAGGTTCCCAAAAAACATTGCTTTCTGCTCCTCTCATCAGTCACCAAAACAGAAGGATTACAAGTGCTGCTGGCAGGACACAGGTCCAGGAGGACACAGGAGCAGCTGCTGCTCTGTTCAATCCCAAACACCATTGAGATCAGCATTTCTCTGTCCAAGGAGGCTCCTGCTTGCAGCCACAGGTTCCTGCTCTGAGAGACCTTATTCCATTCCTTGGTCTTAAATATGCAGAGGCGTCTGGAGCAATGGTCTCCATTGCAGGGACTGCTGTTAGGTGAACAGAAAAATTACCAAATGGTAAAGAGATGTACAGTTTCATTAGCCATAAGTTTCCCTATTTGTTCTGTAAAACAAGAAATCTTCTTTAGACTAATTCCTTGATTGAAACCAAGCAGGTTTCAGTGTGATTGTATATATTATCAATGAAATACATCCAGCACATGAGCTGATCCGTATCGGCTAGAATAGATTTCAATATCACTGCTAGGGAGAACCCCAGTGGCTCCTGCAGTAAATGGTAGAATGCATTTTGTGAAACAGAGAATCATACACACATCATCTGTTCTGTCCACCACTGTGTTTCTTTGGAATAATAAAATAACACAGATTTTATAGTTGGATTGCCAGACTTCAAGATTCAGACTTCTAAAGAAACTGTAAGCATCTCTTTCTTGGATACATCTGGGATCAGCAGCTGTAACTCAGGGATGAAGATACACAAGACCTATCCACACCGACTTATCTTCTCAAGCCTAGGACCCATTCTGAATTTAATGATCTCCTTAATTAGCTTGTTAAAATTACACAATGCCTCAACATCTGGCAGGTATATCCCCAAAAGGAGAAGCAGCAGTACTGGAGGGTTTGTGCTTCCTGAGAGATTATTTCGGTATCAGTAAGGGATTGTCTGGAAGAAGAGAGGCTGTACCCCACCTTCATACAGCACCGTTTTTTTCCAGGACAGAAGTCAGAGATTATATTCAAAGCCCTCAGGGAAGGCAGTGTGTTTTTTCCCTGATTCTTTCACTCCAACTATTCGTGCTGTGTATCATTTCAGCTCCGCTGACCCCAAGTCCTACAGCACGTATTACTCCTTATGAAAGAGTTTTATTATATGAAATAGGAAAGCAAGTTACAAGCCAAGAACTTCCTCAGTTCTTGATTTTGCAGCAAGGAGTATCATGCAGCCTTGTGTCAGATGCTCTCAGTGGGGATCTTGGACTCACTGCTGCAGAACCTTTTGCTAAAGATGGGGATTAATTTAATGTATTGACACGATTCTTTTGTCAGCTTGTAAAAGTTCTGCCTATTTATACTTATTCCTTCTCTTTAGTGCAGAGATGCATTCACCTCACATTCTTCCAATGTTTTCTAGAATATAACTTCCCTCCATGTTTAAAAGAACAATATTCTCAGATCATCTGGAAAAACGTACTCATCTTCCCCCATTTTCTTTTCAGTGTATGTGAGACGCACACTGCTCTCTTGCTAAATGATAGCCTGTTTAAGCTATCTGGTCAAGGCTAATAGGCCAGAAATCTACAAATACTGTGAATAATAAGCATACTTCTGTAATGTTACGAAGGGGGTTTTCTCATTTTCTCTAAGCAAGCATAACTGGAAAATATTTTCTTCTCTTTGGTTAAATAAGCTCCCATAACATGACTACAACCCAAACGTTTGTTGACTGTGAGTCAGCTTTTCCATGTTGGTAAAAAAAAATAAAATTAAAAAAAATAGTCATTTTAATCTCAGGTCTATGTTTAAGGTTAACTAGTGATTGCTGCAGAAGTGAAGCTGTGGAGCAAGAAACTGTGGCAACATCCTTTACAAATCTCCCTCTTATTCGTCATATAAAGTCATGGAACCCAAAGAGCACATGACTTCATTTATCAGCTCATTTCCAAACTCAATCAAATTACATGCAAAAACTTAACAAAAAACAAAAACTAAAACTAAAAGAGAAAAAAAAACAACCCTACCTGAATGGTGTATTTAAAGTCTTAGAAATGTCAGATTAGCAGGAAAAAAAAAACAAAAAACTTTTAAAGAAGCCAACATTGGCTACTTGAAAGTTAAAACCGCAGTGTCTTGGAAAAGGCAGTGCCTATAACAAATGTTGAATACAGCACTGTATTTCTACTTCTTGTTAAGATTATAGCTCAGGCAGCTTTCACTGCTCCTTCACCGTGCTTACAGTAAATCTTGGGGAATAGCCCATATATCGCACAGCATAGATCGTACCAGAGCTGGTAATTACCCCTTCACATACGGCAGCTCAAAGTTTGGAGAAGTATTAATTTAATATAGCACTGTTCTACTGAAGGCCATATATCCTCAGCAAATTGTGTGATAAAAGAGACAGAATTTTGTTTAGCCAATATTTTCCTTTAACAAATCAAAGCAGAAAGCGCACATTGTTGATTAGTTGGTGAAATTGCTTTGTTAAAAATCTCTTTTACCAAGTACAGAAGTACTGACAGCTACATTAATTTCTCTCGAAGCAGAAGTAAATAAGATAAAGCTTTAGGATGGCTTAAGTACTATTGCAAAGAAACTCCTGTTCCTTACATATGTTTGCATGGTGACCCTGCCACATTCAAGACACTGAGCCAGAATAACCAGGGATGGCACCTGATAGCATCAGGGAGCACCTGGGCATCAACTGCACAAGCACCCATTGGAAAAGCAAGTTTATCCCTAGAATTAGGCACCTTTCATACAAACATCACTGGCATAAACACAAGCTTATCCTGACCATTTGTTATCCCAGTTGCAGTGGACGTATCATAAAAACTGTAATGCCTTGATCAGCCCTGTCTGACTGCCTGGAACATGCAAGCTTTCTGATGTCAGGCTTCATTCTGCCCTTCTCCCACTCCCCTTCCTGCAGATCAGGCACAAATCAAGCAGCCACACACCCCACACACTTTGTTCTGCCCTCCAGAGGTGTGCTGTGGGTGGGATAATTGGGACACCTCCACGCTGCTCCTGCAGTCTGAGCCAGAAAAAGAAAGGGATGTTCCCTGCCTTTGGAGTTATGCAATCTCTAAACAGCAGAGGTCTGGGGCTTTTATGCCCTAGCAAGGAAGAAAAACACATTTTGTTCAAACAGCATCTGATTGTATAATTACCATAGGGCTCTGCCAGCCCCACATTCAGGACTGCCGTGGTGCTTTGTTTATGTAGAGGAAAAACCTTCACTGTGAAATCATTCAAAACTCGTCATATAAATTAGATACTGTGTGTCTGACAAGGAAAAGGAACAGATTAAATATCTTAAAAAGGGGGAGGATGAGACTTTACAAAGTCTCATTGGAAAAAGTACTTGGAAGGCAATTAATCCGTTAAAATGCATTTTTAACATTGGCTTTCCAAGGCATATATAAAAAAACCCAAAGCTTTTCCAATAAAGTAAAAAACTGTTTGTCTTCAAAAATAGCCACATTAGTGAGCTGTTTACACTTGATTCAGCAGAATTTGAAAAGAATAAGCAGTGTGATCTGAATTTTCCTTTAGTTCCCCACTAGCTGTACTGAGCCGAATAATGTCCTTATCACAAAACTTACCTCTTTCAAGGGCAGAAGGGAAAGAATGAGATTTCTCTTCTTGGCTCCTGCATTGGGATGGCTCAAAGAATGGGGAAAACAGACCACAATGATCCTGTTTCTTCATTCATATCAGAGCACACTTGTCTCTCCAAGGTGGAGACAAGGAAAAGTCCCAAACCAGCTGGCAAATCTGTGGCACTATCAGAAAGGAAGAAGAAATGCCAAAGCTTTCGCAAAGCCCAGCAGTTGATTCCTCTGTGTACTTTTCCCTTCTCTAACCATTTCCAGCTGAGCTGCCTGGGGTTTACCAGCACCCCTGAAGCTCTTCTGCCTGTGTGGGGAATGTCAACAGTCACTGCTCTGCGGGATGCAGGATCCTAAACCCTTGAACAACCTGAACCTGACTAGCTGGCTTCTCGGTTTCCAAAGCATCCAAATGTAACTGTCTCACAGCCCTCCATCCTTGGCAAGCTGCTGTTCTCACCAGTGCCAGTAACCCCAGGTTTCCATCATTGTGCCGAATGCCCATGATAGGAAAAGCAGCAACCTACAGACAGATTTGCCTTTTGTATAGAATTCAACGTGACAAGCAACAAAAGTCTCGCACTTGCAGCCCAAAGCCTGCAAAAGCCAATTGTTTCCTTTGCTGCAGCCAGCACGCCACATTTCCCTCTTAATTAAGTTCTTACACCCAGCCTGATTTCACATCAGAAAAGTGATGTTTGGGAACAGAGCAAATGGCTCAGCTGGCACCTCATGGTGCGGCACGCCGCGGGCTGAGCTCTGCTGGCAGCAGCCCCAGGCTTCCTGCATCCCCCGGACTCATTCAGCTGCAGAAGGGCTGATTTAGGTAAAGGGAAAAATAAATGGTATTGATTTTTTCCCAGATGTATTATTTCTGCAAGTTCAGCAAAGGTTTGTTGAAGTTGGGGATTGCAGAGCATGTGTCTAGGGAGCATACGCAGAGTCCCATCTGATGCTTCCAAGACAAATGACAAGAAAGAGAGCACAAACCTTAGTTTTGTGTTGTTTCACTATATTCAAATTTCACAGTATTCAACATTTTCTGAGCAGCATGCCCTTCTTCACTGGCCACAGGAGTTTCAGTATCCAGGCCACAGTGGTAATGCAGACATATGTGCTAGATATCATTAAAACGTAATGAATTACCTTCTGCTAATTAAGAGTGTTTCCTTTTGCAGCACTTCACTAAACCCTTCTCCATTTGCAGAAATACCAACCATGTATTTTTCAGAAACCAAACTGACTTCGAGGTACTTCAGCCTGAAGCCCTTCAAAATCAGTGGGCGCTTCAGAAAATAGAAGGAAGAGGGGTTTATGATGGAAGATGAGTTCACAGATTTTTCAAGGTCTTTCCCTGTTTCTAATTCTGGGCATTGTCAAGAATTTTGAGCAGCCATATAAGATAAGCTAAAGAATAAAATACATTCATGGCTGCGCACTGAGTCCCATTTCTATGGGATCTTTGTTTAGTGGTCTAGGTATATTTTAGGTGCCATGGCCAGTTTCTGAAGTTTAAATTAAAATGTTGGATCACTGATTACTGCACAAATCACAAACTTCAGCTTAAATGCCTTTCATGCACAGCATCTGAACAAATTTTTCTATACATCTTTTTTGTAGAGAATGAGCTGACCTGTAAGGGTCCCAGTACAGCCATCGTAGTGGCTGCAGCTTAGTAGCGTAGTGGCAGGGTGTAGCTCACAGCTTCACCTGCCCAACAGACATGTTTTGTGTGTTTTGCTGGTGACTATTTGTGTTCAGAGGTTGTCCCCGATTCTACACAAAGCTTCACCATTTCTTCCAAGCTGAGGTTCTTAGTATGTGGAAAAAATGCATCCGTTCTGTTTGGGAAACAAAGTGGGAAACAGAATCAGCTCTCTACAATCCTAGGCCATATATGTTTGCCAAGCCACATACAAAGCTATACATATTTTACGTGCTGCTAATCTACAATTAGTAATTAACATTCATTCATTCACTGCATTTTTCTTTTTCTACTCTATTCTCATTTATCTGTATCGTGCTGTCTACACCTGCTCTGACACGTCGCTTCTGTTTACCTAAAACTTCAAATCTGTTGAACTAATACACTCACCCCCATATTACAGCTCTCTTATCAGTTCTTAATTGCTGCCTTTTCATAATCCTATTTTTCCTGCACTACTATTTTCCATGTAATTACCTCCACACTTGTACTCAATTCTTCCACTTGCTATCACTTACTGAAAGCATGGGAGCAGCAACGTTCCCACAGGCGGAATGGGAGATCTCACCTTTCAGTTGCATTACTCCAGCACCTTTGGGGAACTTTGGGCCCATAGGGAAAGAACAAGTTGTGCGTTGTGCATCATGGCACAATTAGATTTACTGCACCATTTGCCAATACCGTTATCTGCATTTAACCTTCGCACCAGTCTTTCTCCAGGCAGGATGCTTCTAACGGGAGCTTCATTGTCATTCTCCATCAGTATTACAATAAACAGCCCTCCCTAATCAGCATTCCCCCGGTGCCAAGCCCAAAGGCAATCTGCTCGAGAAGATGTGATGAAACCAGAAGAGATCAATACCAAAAAGTTTTCACAAACTCAATCTGGCAAGGTTAGCGTGGATAATACCGACAGATAAAGATCTAACTTTATCACACATGACAACGGGATGAAAATAAGAGTGTTCAGGGATGTGGTACTTAAAGCTGTACTTAGAAAATGTATAGGAAACTTGTCTTTTCCCAATAACAATAATATCAATATGAATGTACTATGACTATTGCTGATTTTAAGGATAAATTATAAAATTATGAAATATTTACTGTACTTTTAAAACGAATCCAAGTAAGTCCAGTAATTAATTCCATTTATTTCATGAGCTGTGAAATTAATAGCAAATACAGATTAATTATATAAAACAGATTTCTTTTTTCTTGTTATAACAGCTTTTCTCAGATACACTTTGAAGTCTGTGGAATTTCTATTATATCCTTACATCTTTTCTTACTTGAGGGATTATTATAAAATAATTAATTTTTAGCATGGGAAGACTCAGGACTTTATTGTGCTAGTCGGTATGGTAACATTTTCCTGCCACGTTCACATCAGGGGAATAAAAATCACATTATCACAAACAGGAAAGAGAAAGGAGAAACAACCCTGAGAATGCAGTTTCCTTAACATCTCTCCCTCTTTTTCTAGACTATACAATTCTATTTCTGATTGATTTTCACTGATATTAGCAAGTTATGATTATATTTGTTTTCAATGTTATGTTTCAATGATAAAAGAGAGCACAAAGTAAATTAGAGAAAGCTAATGATCACCAGCACATTTCCTTATAGCTCTAAGAAACTGCTCATGTGGCACAAACCAATGTCTGCAGTCTGCTCCTGCAAGGAGACCATGTTAAGAGCAAAATCTAACCACACTGCAGAAATGGGATTGTTTTTTCCATGGCAAAAGAAGGGTGCAAACTGCTTACATTTCCTTATTTATTATTTGATATTGTCATCTACATGATAGCTTTCACATAGTTTGCCTTTACCTTGTGAAGAAAGATATTCCTATGAGAATATCCTGGCAGAAAGTTTTTGTAATTATAATATTCTTCTGAAAATGTCACAGCAACATCAAGGAAACAACACAGCAACCACAGCTACACGGCATGTGTCTTTGAATACTGAGCTGCCAAAAACTTCCCCTGCCAGCAACTGAGCTGTGTACAACCTCCGTAGTGAGATGCTGAGGCCAAAACACGCATGCAGAGGTGTCAACCAGCTTTGGGGGACAAAGACGGGCTTCATCCTCAACTGGCCTTTGGGGAAATCTGCTTCAAGTTACAGAAAATGAAATAGGAAAGAGGAAGTCTTTCTTCTTCAGAGCTCTTGAAGACTGAGAGCTGTAAAGGGTGATAGCTGGAGAGAATTAAGGATCCTCTGTGTTCGTGCAAGTACTCATGCACTTGGACTGCAGATCACTTGCTTCCTTTGCAATAAGGCTCTGGGTGGCACCTCAGAACTTGGGCTAATAAAGGGGAGATTATGGCCTCAGCCTCCTTCTCCCAAATCTCAGCATAGCTTCATGCTATGCACATATATTCATACACAGGATGAGCAAGTCCTGGTTTCTCCTCTCAGGAGTTGTTTGGGGAAATTCTAGAAAATGGGCTTTAGCAACTGTGCTGTAGATATAACTTTAAAATGCTACAATCTCTGAAATCCTATATAGGGAAAGTGTTTTATGAACAGTGAGTACCTGCAGCTGCCAACCTGAAGCAGGGCAAAACTTATGAAAAAGACGAGGGCTTGGGTATTTATCCCCTGTATCTGACCATGGGTTGGGTATTTTTCCCCTCTATCCGACCAAGGGTTGGGTATTTTTCCCCTGTATCTGACCAGCGTATGAATTTGATTTCATGCAAATATTTTGGCGCAGATTAGTTGATAGCAAAACAGAACTGGAATGCTAATGACTTGTGGCGGCATTCTACGGAGGATGAAAACTCATTCAATCCAAGGCAAAGTGTCAGCTTTAATAAAGTAATGTCATGCTATACCTCCCCCATAGCTGGCCTATACTGACATGAAAAATTGTAATGGTGGGAATGCAGAACTTTGCAGATATAAATAACTTGAGACTATGTTATAAAATTTCCAAATGGGGTGGAGGAAAACTGTAAACATGCATTAAGTGGCTTCAGTGAAGGATATCATTGCCACCTATTGACAGCAGAACCTTCTGAAATAATACAGCTTGGTTGCTGCTATTGAATTGAAATTCCTCCCTGGTAGCATTACAACAGGCTGTTCTGCTGTGTTTGTACAGCAGGGGATGTAGGTATTTTGAATACCTACATAAGCATAAACATCTGGATTTAACAAATATGACACTATCTGAAGAAGTTAAAAGCAAAAAGGAAATAAAGGTAAAACTCAAACAAAAGCAAAATCAAATATATTAGAAAACAAACGTACATCCAAATCAGAGCAAAAGTATGCAGTGTTTGGCTACGCAAGATCTAAGGTCTGGGTAATTACTCAGCCAAAAATGCTAATTTTATAATTAGGCTGATTTCAGCCACAGGAACACTGTGTGACTGTCTTCCCTTCTTTTTGGTGTTCTATCCGCATTTGACAAATGAAAGTCCTCCCACCTCTTCTTGTCAGGGACTCAGTTACATTGTTA